TCACGCGGGAACAAGGCTGTGGAAGCGCCTCGAGTTTCCGTTGCTTTAAGTTTCGATGTAAGCCATGGCGAAATTCAGATTTCCAGGCAAGGCTCTTAAGTTAAACACAAGAAAGCGCGTTCGGTTTCGAGGTGGCCATGCAGCTAACACGCCAGAGGAGCTTTACACAAGGAGAATCCGCAGAGGCCTGGACCTTTTCACGCAAATATTCGGGGATTCCGACGAGGTAAGCGGCGGCCGCGTCTTGCGGCCTTTTGTCCCTCCAGCCAGGCCACGGCGCTGGCTCTCTACCCTTCGTGTTAATCTGGCTCCCGGAGGGGCTCGCGGTGGCTCGAGGGACCCGCGCTGGCCACGAGGACGGGGCCTCCTCCTGGCCAAGAAACCCGCTCCGCCAGACGCCATTTTCGAGGCGAGCGACGAGCGAAGGCGCGGAGGCCCTGCGCTCGCAAGCACTCCTGGCCAGGCGGGGCTCGTGCTTGCCCTCGCGATTCCCGGCCAGGTGCCTCAGATTAACCAGCTCTTGCAACGTCATGGGCAGCGGGGAGGGATGTGTCGTGTTGAAATTGCAATGTTGACGAGTGCGCAGATTGGCTCGGAATTGCACTCACTCCCTTGACATGTTTTGCGAATCTGGAAGGAGTTCCTCGCAAAACGAGCCCGAGCGGAATCAGGCAAATGCAGGCCTTCTCGCTGAGGTGGAGGGAGAGACAGGGCAGAATTTGCATTGTTGTTTTATTCTGATGCATAGGTCATAAAGAATCCATATTTATGAGCTGGGTGTGTTATTTTTTGAAGGATTCAGAGGAAGTAAGTGCATTGAAAGATACAGGGAATAATTCTGTGTTCTAATATTAAAGCTGTAAAGGCAATGTTACTGATGGTCATTGTGATAAAATATTCCAAAGGTCTTGGGAAGTGACAGCAAGTAATAGAATTAATTTTATGTGGAAAAGTTGAGGGTTATGTTTAGTCAGCCTAATGCAAAGGAAAAGTGAATTTGTCATGGTGTTTACTGTCAGTAGATTGATTTAAACTAGTTAAAAAGATATTGAAATGTGGAACCTCCGTCACAAGAGACTCCTGTTGTGGCATTCAGAATGTTTTTTATTATTATTATTATTTTATTTTGGTTGTGTTCAGTCCAAAACCACTTGAATCATGCCATGATCTGTGACAGAAGGCCTATTCTGGGCACAGCATAGAATCAGTCTGAGACCTCGGCACTTTGTACTCTGGCAAGTGCCAATAAACCTTCACGGAATATATTATGGCAAGATGGAGTTTTTTTTTTGCTAATGTATATATTTTTTTTAAGTCTAAGAGCATGTCGAAATTTGTGTGGTGGAGGCTCACTGGGCTTTACCAGCCTCTATTATTAGTATTATTACGGTAAGCCATGTAGAAAGCCACACTCAAAATTTTATAAATTATACCATCAAGGATATCAATTTAGGTCAAAACACATCAGAGGAAGAAAGTGAAGTTAGAAAGTCATCAGCTATTTACTGTTTAGTAAAAATATAGTTGATCTTTTAAATTTATCAAGAATTGAAGAAATTACAATTTCTGAAGACAATCTATTCCACTGAAAAGCATGCGGCCATAGGTTAAAGTGTGGGTCTTCTAGAAGTTTATTAGAAAGTGTGATGAATTGATCATATTTCTGCCGTTCATATTGACATCAGCCTATTTGTTATCTGGTTGTTATAACAATAACAGTCATGTTACGTTAATCATAAGATACATAAATCAGAATGTTAAATTTGTTAAAGATTATTTATATTTTTATTCATGTTTCTTGAAAACAAATTTTTTTTTTTGAATATTCTGGTTTTGTTAAGACATTGCAAAGCAAGAAAAATAGGAAAAGTTGCAGGACATAAGTATTTCAGGTAATTGTTGTGGCTTGCATCTCCACTGAAATGATTTTTGTAGGATAGAGGTTTTATCATTTCTATATTTGTTATATTTATATATTACCATTATATTAGGCCTGTAGGCTTTATCTTACTGGATTATACTAAAGGAAGGTTTATTTGCTTTTACTGGAATGTAGAATTTTTTGAGTCAAGTTAGATATATCAAAGGCTTACCTTTTAGTGTTAAACTTTCCATCGCATAGTTAGTTTCAACTAGATTTGGATAGAATATATGCTAACTAGTTTGAATGGTAAAGAAGAAAACCTGTATCTTGTGCATGGAAGCCATGGAATTTGCCTAGTGGAGTAGGCTGAGGGATAGGGATAGTGGGATGGATGGCCTTGAGAAAGAGACAAGATATAGCTACCAATTTTCTTGTTTAATTGCAATTTAAACACTCCATTCACACCATAGAGAGGTGACTAAACATCTTCACCAAATTATAATTGTTAACCATTCAGAGGTACTGATTTCCTGGCATCTTAGTTCCAGGGCCTTACCAGATTATTTAATAAACTTAAATATAAAGGTTACTTGGTAGGGTAAAATACCAGTTTTAGATATACATAAAGCACAGCAA